TAATATAATATAATATAATATAATATAATATAATATAATATAATATAATATAATATAATATTTCTATAATCCTTGTGGTCCGACTAAGGCAGGTTGAGCTAACCTGGTCCAAGCGGAGAGCCCCGTCCACGAAGCGCTGTTGACGCAGTTGCTTGGCGATCTGGTGGAGGTTCTGGATGGCTCGGTGGACCTCAGCCAGGGTGTGGCAGGAGGAGATGGGGGGCAGCTCCCCTGCCCCGAAGACCCTTTCTGGATTCTCAATCATGCTCTGAGCGTGGTCGTAGCTCAGCTTCGCACAGGATTGGATCACGGTCCGCCCAAACCATTCGTCCAGGATCTGGAACAGCAAGATGAGGAAGAATGTCAAGGAGAAACGGGCCGCCGTTGTCAAGTCAACCCCTTGCAATTGTTAAATTAGGACAGGCAGTCCTCGTTTAGAGACTGTTCAAAGTTACAACGGCACTGCTAGAAGTGACTTACGACTGTTTTTCAAACTTATGACCGTTGCAGTGTCCCCATAGCCTCGCAATCAAGAATTGATTGAGACACAACTAGTTCATATTTATGACGGGCGGCGCATCCCTGGGTCAGGTTTGCGACCTTCTCACAAGCAAAGTTGATGGGGGAAGTCGGGTTCGCTTAGGAACTGGGTTAGTAACTTAACCCCTGCAGTGATTCGCTTAACAACAGTGGAGAGGAAGGGCGTAAAGTGGGACAAAAGCTCGTTCACAAACATTTCGCTTAGCAACAGAACTTTGGGGCTGAACTATGGTCGCAAATCAAGGACTAGCTCTACCTTATATTATTATAATAAGGAAACATCTGCAAGAAAACCAGCATGCTCAGAGAACATCAAGCACGCAAGGAAAGCAGCAAAAGTCTTTCTTTCTCTCTCCCAAACTCTGCCAGAAATGAGTCGTTGGGACCCTGCAAGGCCTCCTGCTCCAAGAGGCTGCGCTGGCGAAGACTCGTTTCTGGCGGAGTTTGGGAGGGGGGGGAAGACTTTTGCTGCTTCTGCTGCTTTCCTTGCACGAAGCCAAAAGTCTCTCTTTCTCTCTCCCCCTGAGAACGGAGCTGGAGACGGTATCCTGCAATCCCTGATAAAGAACGATCGATCAGTAGGAAAACAGTGTGGGGGATTTTACTGCAGACTTTTGGGGGGATTTTCCCAGGGTCTCTGGTCCATGGGATTTAAAATTATGAGTTTGGTGGTCCTTGAGGTCCAAAAGGTTGGGGACCCCTGGATTAGACCTCCAAGGTGTGTTGTGTTGTGTTGTGTTGTATTGTATTCTGTATTCTACTCTAAATCCTATTCTATTCTATTCTATTCTA